ACTTACTCATATGAAAAGCTAAAAAAAAAAATGACACAAGAAAGTGGAAAGACATCCCATGTTCCTGGATTGGAAGAATTAATATAACCAAAATGTCAATTCTATCCAAATTAATATAGATATTTAATATAATCCCAATCAAATTACCAGAGATATTCTTCACAGATTTAGAAAAAAACAGTCATAGAATTTGTTTTGGAATCAGGGACTAGCAGTTGGCGTAATGGGTATGTTGCTGGACTCCCATGTAGTCGACCATGGTTTGAATTCTGGCTTAAACTCATACCAGGCACATGTGCATGCCTGCCCAAGATCCCGAGAGGAGAATGGAGGAGAAGGGATTGAGACATGGTCATCCTCTCTGGGGGGGTGGTGATTTCTCACTTTCTGTCTCTCTGTCTCTCTCTGTCTTTCTGGCAAGCACATGCGCCCTATAGCAAAAACGTCTCAAAAAAAAAATTTGTTTTGGAATCATAAAAGACCCCATGTCACCAAAGCAATCTTGCATAAGAAGAGTGGAGTAAGAGGCATCTCACTCCCTGACCACAAAATATATTATAAAACTGTGATAATCAAAACAGCATGGTACTGGCACAAAAACAGGAAGGTAGACCAATGGAACAGAATAGAGACCCCAGAAATAAACTCCAAAGTGTATAGCCAACTGATTTCTGACAAAGGACACCAGACAATCCTGTGGGAAAAAGAAAAAAAGAAATCTCTTTAGCAAATCGCACTGAAAAACTGGGTATCCACCTGCAGGATGAAACTGGGTCCCTGTCTCTCACCATTAGCAAAAATCGACTCCAAGTGGATCAAAGATCTAAACCTAAGACCTCAAACTGTAAAACTACTGGTGGAAAACACAGGGGAAACTCTTGGAGACATTGGAGTAGGCAAAGACTTCTTACATAAGACTCCTGAGGCACAGGCAATAATCCCTAAAATAGACAAGTGGGACTATATCAGACTATGAAGTTTCTGCACAGCAAAGGACACAGTAACATGTGAATCGACAACCCTCAGAATGGGAAAAGATTTTTGTAAAATATGCTCAGACAAGGGACTGATAACCATAATACACAGGGAACTCAAGCACCTTATGTGAAAAAAACAAAAAAATATAAATACACACACACACAAACACACACACACATAAATAAATAAATAAATAAATAAATAAATAAATAAAAAAAAGATGGGCGAATGAGCTGAACAAATAACTTTCCAAAGAAGACATGCAAATGGCCAAAAAATGCTTATCATCCTTCATCATAAGGGAGATGCTAATCACAACCACAACGAGATACTGACTAGCTCTAGTCAGAATGGCTAAGGTTAAAAAAATAAAAAATGGGGTGCCAACAGGTGGTGTGGTAGTTAAGGGCACTGGACTCCCACATGACTGACCCTGGTCTGAATCCTGGACCTGATGGCTTGCTTTCTCACTCCCCCCACCCCCCACTCCGTCCTTCTCTGATCAAATTAAAATAAATAAATAAAGTTAAATTCTTTTTTTTTTTTTTTAGAGATTTTTGCTATAAAGTGGTGGCACAAAGAAGACAGAGAGACAGAAAGCGAGAAATCACCCCCCGGGGGGTATGGCCACACCGCAATCCCTTCTCCTCCATTCTCTTCTTGGGATCTTGGGCACGCACGCACACGCGTTTGGTGTGAGTTTAAGCCACCAGGTTTGGGACTCGAACCTCAGTCGACTACATGGGATCCAGTGACATATCCATTATGCCAACTGCCGGTCCCAATAAATTCTTTTTTAAAAAATGAATTATTTTATTTACTTATTATCATTGTTCTTCAATTTGACTAGAGAGAGAAAGCGAAAGTGAAAAAGCAAGCTGCCAAATCTGGAACTCAAACTGTGGTCGGCTACGTGGGAGTCTTGCTCCTTTAACCACCATGCCACCTGCTGGCCCCAATAAAATAATTCTTTTTTTTTTTTTTTTTTTTTACAATTTTTTTTGAGAGGTTTTTCGCTATAGGGCGCGTGCGCTCGCCAGACAGACAGAGAGAGACAGAGAGACAGAAAGTGAGAAATCACAGGCAAGGTTTTAGACTAATCTTCGTCTCTTCAATGTCTTGTATATTGACTTAGTTTCATATGTAAGTATTTACATTAGTTTTTCTCAGGGATTTATACACCTATGTGTGTGTGTGTGTGTGTGTGTGCGCGCGCGTGTGTGCGCGCGTGTGTGTGTGCATTCCTAAACAGATATATACAAGTTTTTTATCCTCATCTTACCACTTGACAATACAACTTTAAGTTTGTTTTGCACAGCTGTTCTTTGGTCAAGGTCATTTGCAAGAGCAAGTTAATTTCTGAAGGAATCTTGTTTGGTGGGTGAAGAATCCATTGAGGGATTCTCATTAGTTTTTTTTTTTTTGGAGAAGTTTTTGCTATGGGGTGCATGCC